CTGAAGTAATGCAGCTGAAGACAATTAATCCAGACAAAGCCATGGGGAAGCAGCTTTTAAGAATGTGACCCACCAACTACAAAAACTTCATAAATACACTTTTTTTTCCTGTTGCAAGGATATTGTGACTAATGTCACAAGATTAAAAATCTTTAGGTCTGCTTTGATTTACACTGGAGTCTGAAGTGACCACTAGCATCAGCTATGGAATTACAAAGACAAGGAGCTAGCATTATTTGTGAGTCTTTCTTCTGTCTCAGACTGGAGACTTATTAGATGTTCTGACTCCAGCCTTTGTCATTTTTTCCTCATATGGAACAGACAGTCAAAAATCCAATTTTTTTTGCCATGGCTTCATTGTGTGTAAAGCAGTTGTCTGCTTAGATGTAATTCTCAATATTACTTTTCTGGATTTAAACATCAAATATGAATGCTAAGAGGTAAGGTAAAATTTTAAACCAATTCAGAAAAAAAGGAGAGAATCTCACTGAAAATTAAATCCATAATCTGGAAGTACAGCCTAGTTTAGGCACTGGTTATTAAACTGCTGGGACAACAGCACTGCACCAAATCCCCCAGCTGCCTTGGACATCTTGCACTGGTCTAAATAGCAGGTTGGGTGCAGCTGTTGCACCGCAGTAAAAAGCAGAGCTCATACAAAGCAGAAGGAGGTGTGATAGGACTTACTGTGTTTTACAGTTACACTAGAAGTGAAGGATGCATTTTCTACTGCCCTGTTGACCAGTGTACAGTGACTTCAACATGAAGCCTATGCTTCACAGATCCTGCCTTAGCACTGCTAAGCCCTCTTCATCTCTGCCTTGAAAAAGTCATTTCACTCCTCACTGCTCCTACTAGGCCATTAAGATAACTATGCAGACGTCTAAAGGCATGATGGGGATTAATTAGTTAGTGTGCCAAGAGGGAAAAAAGAAAAATTGCTATAGTATCAGCTGCTTTTACAGTGATACTGTGTGATAGTTTCATAAGGCTAGCCCTTGGCCAGTAGCCAACACAGCCATTCACCCACTTCCCCCCACCCCCAGGGGACAGGGGAGAGTATTAGGGGGCAAGGGTAAGGAGACTCATAGGTTGCGATAAGAACAATTTAGTAATAGAAATAAAATAAAACTTAAAATAATATTAATATTAAAATGGTAGTGATAATTATAACAATGAGAAAATATGCAAATGAGTGATACCCAGTGCAACTGCCCACCACCCACCAACCAAGCCCGGCCCGATCCCAGGTAACGATCCCAGAGGAGCGACAATCCCGAACCGAAACTGCAATACCGGAAGAACGAGAGCCCGAGCGAAAGTCAGAGAGAGCCAAAAGAGGAAGAGCCCCTCACTAATACACTGGACATGACGTGATATGATATGGAATATCCATCCCACTGGCATATCCAAATGTCAGCTTAGCTTATTAATTTAAATATTCCTCGCCCCCTTAGATCTTGTGCTTGCAGACTGACAGAACACAAAGTCCTTCACTTCCAGCAACAGAAATGCAAACACTGGTGTGTTATCAGCGTCTCTCTCATAACAAATCCCAGGCTGAAAAGCAAAACATAGCACTATTCTAGCTACTGAAAAAGAAACCCAGCTCTGTTTCAGATAAAAACCAGGACACACTGTTAAAAGAACAGGAGCATGGCAGCTTCACATGCCAATGCTGCAGAAATGACACCAAATCTATGTATTAAAAAAAAAGTCCAAAACTTTGCTGCAGAACTCCAGAAGCACTGAAAACAGGATGTGAAATGTGGGAAACAAATAGCTTCATTTTCATGCAAACTGTATCAGTAGGAATAGACACTTGCCACATTTTACAAACTAAGCATATTTCAATTAAAGTAGGATGAAAAAAAAAAGATTTTGTGTTGGAGAAAATTCAGGTCACAGACACAGATCCAGTCATGCTGTAGATAACAGGTTTTTGGCTTCTTTCCTGAAGTTTTTGGGGGTCTGCGGGCTATTTCTCGGTGGTCACTGACATGGGCAAGTTTGTTGATCTTTGCACCAAACTAAGTATAAATTCCTACTAAGTAGGAACATATCAGGTATCTCTAGCCTTCTTCTGGGGGCATGCGTGGAAAAAGCTGACTAAGATATGCTTCACGGACTGCTTTGTCAAAATCAAGCATTAAGCATTAGCTCAGCGTACACAGCAGAGAGAATAAAAAGTAAAAACAAGACACGTTTGTATTCATATTTCCTCTCATTTACACAAAATTCTCTTCTTGTTATTTAAAGTCCATTCAATAAACCCTACCTCTGGTGAGGGAGAAGTACTTTGTGTTGCTAACAACTGCATCAGTCTATCAATGGGTTCTTTTTCTCTCCCAGGCAACACAGCTGTAATGCTGGATCCCAATTTCACCTACCTTTGAAAGAGAGCTCAGGCCCTGCTAGTTGCTTGGCAATGCCAGATGCATTTCACTGCAGGTCCAACACACATGTACATAACCAGCAGTAACCCCTACATGGCTCTTGCAGACTGCACAGAGCTGTGGATTTCTGTGGTTGTATCATTCCTGACACCTGAGCTACTGAAGAGGTAGTTCATGTCCGCACAATTTACACCTAAGCCTCTGACTGCAGTGGAGAAGCAGTATCGGGGCTGTTCTCACACACATGCCCCCAGTGTTGCTGAGAACAGACTCCTGTCTCAGCTCCATGCTGTTAGGCCAGCACTTTCATTTAAGGGTCATGATTGAGATATGAAAGTCTTGAAATCCTCATTGGAGTAAAACAGCTTTACTCCCTGGTGTCTACCAATAAAGAATTTTATCTCTATCCTCATTTGGCTTTATCTCTCCCCAGTAGCCCCTTGACTTAAAACCCTTGTAGTTAGACTGAACAAATTAACATAAATTATACATATTCCTTCTTTCTCCACAGTATGTAAAAGTTTGTTTGCTTAAATTATATCAAGAAATATTCCTTCTAAAAAGAGTTTTTAAAGATTGCATGAGATTTTCTACAGAAACTTAAGTAATAAATAAAAGTCTATACCAGAGTGATACAGAACTGCAGAGCTGGCTGAGCACAGCTACATTAGCACACAGACCCTCTCATTCCAGTCTTGTTAATATTTCAGGTCATTCCACAGTGAATACATATTCTTGTGAGGCATAGTGATGGTCCAGAGCCTACTTTGAGGACTGGAATAAGTACTCTTTCCATTCAAATTCTGGTCTGTTTTCTCCAGGCAAAGGAAGAGTGAGCCATGATGAAAATGAAACACCAGCATGTCTTCAGAAAAATTCTGTTAGACTTTCAGAGTGCAAAAGAAAAAGTCTCTGCCAAAGTGTGGGAACTGATGTGAATTTCCTATCTTTGCTATAGTCAATTTAGCAATATCCACAGATAGGCTGACTTAAAGTGACTGCCCAGCAGTATTAAATCCCCCTTAATAGACTGACTTATCCCAGTGGTTTATAAAAATACCTCCTTGGAATTCTTCCAAACATACCAGAGCTGGGCCGCCTAAGTCTCCAAAATAGTCCTCAGTTAGTAAGTTCCAAACTCCACACAAGAATCAAATTGCCTCACTTGAACACTGTGCTACATTCCCATGACCAGAGTCATCCCCTTTCTCTTTAGCTCTTTTCTCTTTTCTTTTAAGAGAAACTAAAACGTATAGAGTCTTCAAACAAACAGACTCCAACACAGGAGAGAAATCCCAGGCCAGAGGGAGAAACGCTGTCACTGCTGCTTCAATATTAACAGCACATTGCTTTAGGCACCACTGGTGCAACAACAGCAACGCTTCTTATATGCCACATGGTCGTTACTTCTGGGAAATTATCTGAAAGTTCGAGTTTGCTCCGATTTAGGTGCCCTGGCATAGACAGATATGTAGCTAAAGCTAGTACCTCATGGCTTCTGGAGAACAGAGTAGTGCTCCTGTCCCCTTCTGTCCACTCCATCTCGAAGGTTCCCACCCCTGCAACAAGCTGTGCTCATATTTCAGCAGTGACAGATCACAGCCCAGCTTCTTTCTGTGAACTCGTCAGGGAGCTGCGTTGGGGCCATGGTTGCCCTCCTGTGAACTGGGATAGATAGCCAGTGTGCAGAGCCACTCCTCCTTCCACTGCTTCTGCTACAAATAGCTGCAACCTTTAACAGGACCAGCAGCAAAGGGAAATAAATACCACTAACTGCCATGCCTGGAGTCAGAGCCTCAGCTCGGATGAGTCAGCACAGCCCCAGCTGTACCAGCTATGGGGCTGCCTTTGTTTCTCCCTTTACAGGCTGCAAGCCAAAGCACAAACGAAAACTTCCCAACTGCTTGTTGTTATTACAGTACGAATAAAATAGCTAAATCTAAATCTTTGGCTGAAAACAGGCAGCATGCACCTTCCCTTCCCCTCTCCATGAAATATTTAAGAAGCCTGGCAGCACTAGGACCTTTTTCAAGATTCTTCTGTGTCCAGGAGCGTGGCCTTTTCCCTCCTGGCAGTACATCAAATGTTGTTGCCACTATAATATTTCAATGCTGCTAAACAATGCTCGCAAACATCCACTTGGACTCTAGGCAGTTCTACTAAATTTTATGCAATCTTTTAAAGCTTTCTTTCCCTGATCAATCATGCAGTTAGGTTTTTGTTTACAACGACTTCTAGGAATGGGTTTTCACAGAATCACAGAATGTTGGGGATTGGAAGGGACCTCGAAAGATCATCTAGTCCAATCCCCCTGCCGGAGCAGGAACCTAAATGAGATCACAATGTATTTCATTGTACAAATACTTTAACAGACATTTATCGGTAAAGAGGGTGGTGGTTATTTATTCATTCTTAACACTAATGTTTCAGTCACTCAATTAGGAAACAAAAACAATGCAGTGTGACCCACACACCAAATAAACAGACAAAGTGAATGCTGGAAATGCAAGCTCTGAAATACATGCACTATTGAAATTTATTTGCATAAGCTGTTGTAAGAACAATGCAAAAACCTATCTGAATAGAAGCCATAATTTTCAGTCTCTAAGCAAGAGCATAGTCAAACTGTCCTCCTCCAGTTCATCAAGTCCATCAGCCGAGGCTGAGGTTGGCATACTCCGGTAGGGGTTGAGGAGAATTCTGAAGCAGCGAACAATGAGGATTCCCAAGAAAACAAATAACAAAATCACAAAGGCAAATGTTGTTTTCTGTTCCAGGATCATGCTAGAATTTGGTGTCATGTTCACAGATGGCACCAAAGTGACAGTGACTATCTCTCCACCCATCATCCAGGGAAGCTGAAACGAATAATCCCACAGTCTTTTCATCATCAGTTTGCTGAGGTCAAGAGGCACCTTGCTCTCTGTAGGGCTAGGGGAAAGCAATGTTAACTGTGAATAGCCCTTCTGTTTCTTTACTTCAATACAACTTTCTCCTCATGGAGAAAAACTAGATGGAAAAGAACTTGACAGTAGGTCTGCTTGCCTCTGTGTCACATACGAGACCTGTTAGAAAGCCTGTTATCACTCTGTTGGCAGTACAGAATCCAGCCACCAGTAGTAAATATGACTAGACCCTGAGCTGGCAGTAGCCTCTCCCTACCTACCATATCATTTGGACTGAGGTAAAACATTTCTTTCCTGCAAGAAGGAACACAAGGGGTTGTTTTTTTTTCTGGGTAGCCCACAGAAATAGCAAATTGCATGCCTTGCTGCAGGACAGACCTAACTGCAGTTGATGTTACTCTAAGTTGGGGGAGAGGAGTTTCAAAAATGAATGTAGTTCAACAATGACCAAAATTTTTTGAGGTGGGATGGACCAGAATCTACTGCAGGCCAATAAAATGCATGTGTCCCCATGATGGAAGGCAGCATGATTTATAAACATGCCTCATTAACAGTTAACTAACAGTTAATAGGTGTAAGTGGATCAAGAAAGTACATTCATCCTGGAATATTGCCAGGATTATTCTAAAAACTGTACCTTAAACAAAATAGAGAAAATATTAAAGAAACAAAAATATTGGAACCGCATGGCTATTATTGCCTTATTTAATTTGTAATGGAGAGGATAGAAAAATCAAAAATGTGAACTTCCAGTCTTTTGAATGTCTCAGGTACAACCTGAAAATGCAGAGGACTGTCTAATAGAGAGAGCTAAAACTTCAGGAACAACCAGTTTAATAAGGCTGACAGACATCTTTTTGGAGGCTGATACCTGGTGAAAATAATAAATTCTGGTGATAAATAAGCTTGCTATAAAAAAGAAGCAGCATATAAACTGAGACAGACTGTATCACTGTGACAGTGATGCTTACAGTGAAGGCCTAAGGTAGTGGTACCCCCTTTCTAAAAGACCTCTGATATTCTGACTTCAGAAAGCTCTTCAGCACACACATTGTGTCATGGCTTTTAATGTTACTTAAGCATATGCCCTCAGCTATAGACATACTGTACACACTTAACAGTCTTTCCTAAAACTGAAATTACACAATACAGTAACTATGCTTGCTGTCACAGATCAGAGTGTTGTAGGAAAGGTTTTCCTGACATTTTTCTAGGCATTATCTGAACACAGGTAGCAACCGTGGGAGAAAACGCAGAAGATGGAAAATCTGTGACTGTCAGGAAAGAGCAGCTTTTGATATGATGGTTTTAAATGTCAAACTTAGAGAACAGACAAAGGATTTTGCACACAGTATCTGTGCAGTTTTGAAGAAACTTGACTTTAAAAAGATACATGTAATAGTGACTCAGTGATAAGCAAATGCAGTTCACTATTTTCCTTTTGGGGTCCGAGTAGGCATCTAAGTGGGATAATACAGAGAAGAGTCAGATACTCAGTTTCATAACACTAAGCATTACTGACCGATTTTAGGAACAGATAAGATATCTGATTATTTTACAATTAGCAGCTCTTCGCACTCAGAATCCTAATTTTTATGCTATAGATTATATGCAGTAAAATACCTCCAGACAGCCTTCTGAGTGTGTTCGTTACACTGAATGATTGCAGGCATTTCGGGGCAGGCCGTTTGTCTCCACAGAAAGGCACAATACCAGTCATAACCACATCTTTTGCCCTCTTTGGACCACTTCTTTTGAAGCTAAAACTTAAATTATATCATTAACTATTTCATTTGTGAGAAAGTGATGCTTAACTATCTACACTGGAACAAGTGCACAGGTACTTGAAAGGAGAAGGTAACTAGCTGAAGACATTAAATGGGTGTATCTATGGACACAAGTAATTATGCTTGGAAGTACCTTGGCCATAGCAATGTGGGCTTCCAGACTCCTGGCCCCTGGTCATTCACATGGAGCAACTGGTGTAAGGGAGTCCCCAGTCCCCACCTCTTCCTCCCTGCCCATCACTTTCTGTTGTGTCAGCAGAGCTCTGCTGGCACTGGGCACCAGAAACTCTTTCCAACTGGAAACGTTCCCTATCTGTGATACTATACAGACTGTACATGGCAACATAACTTTAAAATGTATTTTCTTACATGAGAACTTCTGCACTCCTTGTAAGAGTTCCTCCAGCCTGCCTGAACTCCACCTCACCTCAGTGGTACTGATCAAAGGCTGACCAGGAGGACAGGAGCCTGGAAGAGAGTGCTGAGGAGCTGCAAAGAGAGGCAAAAAGGCCCCTCCCCATGGCATGAGGGAGATCGGTGCTCCAGGATCCACCTCTGATGTAGATCTCAAGAGGCAAAAGGCAAAGTGCATGTGTGATGCACACGACAAGTATCGCCATTTCAGCACAAAGGTATCCATGTAGCCAAAACAAATAAAGAAAAAAAGCAGACCATAACAAGGGAATTGGTAGAAACCAGATAATAGTAATAAAAACAACACAACCTGAATGTGGTTTTTTTCACTTTGTTCCAAACACTGAGAGCTAAACCAGGTTATAACATGGGTGGAAAAGCCTCAAGGCTGTTTGAAAATTCATTGATGTAACCAAGATTCCTCTAGGTGCAGACCTGCTTTTTTTTTTTTTTTTCTCACGTCTCAGATAAAATCATAACTAATAGAACAAACAGATTATCCTTCACTCAAATGACTAGCCCTGATTATTTTTTTTTTAATGCAGAGATGCCCCCTTCAATTACTTTCTGTAACACGTTCCTTGTAGTTGTGCCTAATGCTTTGTTTAATGTGTACATTAAAGTTGCACATCACTCTATCCATATCAGGTTGATATTATAATTTCTCCTTGTCAGTGTGCACACATCCATTAGGTGGTTCAATTATAGTTGTCCCTGAGGTGGTGATTATAATCTAAGATATTAAATTTAAAAAGAAATGTTAAAACATAGCAAAACTTGCATATCATTAGTGGCATTAAATTGACAGGTGAGTCCTTGGCACATCCCAAGCCTTAATAGCCAGGTGCCTACCTGCTGCCCAGTAGCTGGACTATGAGCATACAGCCTGGTCAAATGCCACCAAAAGGCAACTTTTCTGGTCAAGCCACTAAGATTTTTGAAGTTAAAATATCATTGGATGAATTAGTTGATAGAGCTATCTACACATTCGTATGAAAGACAAATTCTTAGGACTCTGAAGAGTTAAACTTGCTCAAAGCACCTTTGATCGGTCTTTCTGTGCTTTCAGCATTTCATTTGTTTTGAAGTTGACTTTAATTGAAAATTGCTGTACATTAAAAGGATTTCCTCAGGGCTCACAGTTTAAAGCTTCTTACTTTGAGAACAACAGGACTGAAGTAAAGGATGGTTTTAAGATCTGCACCTCTAGAAACAACATATTTACAATTAAATTTGGCTTTGTTCTGTTGTTCAAACTGTCCCCTCTTTATTACCATGTACAACATAAATTGCATCTTGTATCAATACCCATATGGTTATGTTCTTACCGTGAAAGACTTGTATGTTGCTGAGTAGTAACAGCCAAAGACACTGTAGGAAAACACATCCCAGTTCTCTGAGCAGAATCTTATTTATACCAGTTTTGCTAATTTCTGTATCCTACCTGTTCATAAATTTGCATACCGTCCTGTCCTTGCAATACGGCACAAATACTCTGAGACACAGACAAGCTCTGGAGCTGACCTTCAGTTGCCATAAATTGTTCCACTATAGTTGGAGGTACACACAGATTAGCATTGCTGGCCCTTCATCTTTCAAAATACTAAGGAACTGGTAACTCAATAAACTATTGAAGACATCCAGACTGAACTGTGACATATACAATCTATGTGTGCATAGATTTAAAACAAGTATTTTATTTTAAAACATTAACAATGAAACACCATATAGAGCAGCAGTGTCTGTTTATTGCTATTTCTGGACAGATCATTCACTGCACAATGTTCTGTGTAAATCATGTGAAACAAACAGAAAAGCCTCTGAAACAAGCAAGTTCAAAGGAGGAATCTGATCAGCAGAAAACCATTGGAGTCTCAGTGACTTACAGCCTTGCTAACTAGACAGAATGCTAAATTTCCTGCTAGTGCAGCTAGCTATACAGTTATGCTGACTTAATTACCACCTTGTCCACTTACACTTTTGGCCCTGTAAAATCTGACTGATAAAACATCAGGACATTTAAACACATGAAACAGGATATTTTCCTCTCTCTTTTAAATCAACACCCAGGGACTTTCTTTTGCCCTTCTCGTTTACTTGAGATTTACTGGCCTCATTCGTAAGGTCCTTTGGCTTCACTGCATGCTTCACAATGTATGCCTGTTATGCAGGTATCCTATATTAGTGGAGCAATTGGTTTTCCATTATGAAATATCTCATGGAATGTAGCAAGCACACAGCTGTGCCAAGACCATGTGCATTATTTTCCTATACCACCCATACTAGTTTCACTCATTACTCACTTCCTTAGCTACAAAAACACATGGCAAGTTTCTTCAGGCTCAATCAGGACACAAACTATTTGAGCAAAGATATTTCCATGCACTCACAGCTCAGTTGCTGTGATTGACATTTTAAAGCTAATAAACAAAACTTGATTTTAAAAGTACCAGGCTAAAAAAATTACACATGCCTTTCTTCTGTAACCAAATGTGTCTTACATTCCTTCATATTGTAACCTGCAGTGTTGTTTGCTGTGCAGTCTAAATGGATATATTAATAATGCCCTTTTCACTTATACTTCATCCTTTTCTTCTCACAAATTTGATATCAAGCTGACATTGCCCTTCACCTGCAGGCACATATGCTCATCGTCCCTCAACAACTTTTAAAGTTAGAACTTTTGCGCAAAAAGATTCTCTCAGTGTACCATTCAGCTGTTTACATTGTTAAAGCAAGTAGTTGGGATTAATTTTATCAGTAAAACAATGACGGAAAAGGATG